ATTATCTATCCATCTCAGATAGTAGTTGGGTGACCTCTATTCAGTATGTTCCAAAGAAGGGAGGTTATAAAAGATTTTTTTTGCTTACAAGAACTAATAAGTTGATTCCTACTTGAGCTGTCACAAAGTTGGTGGTGTGTGTATTGATTTATCGAAAGTTGAACAAAGCAACGCTCTCAAAAGATCACTTTTTCCTTTACCTTTTTGATCAAATACTTGAAAGACTTTGCAGGTTATTCCTTACTACTATTTTTCTAGATAGTTTATCATGGTATTTCAATTAACCCATAGCTCCTGAAGGATAAGAGAAGATTACTTTCCACTTGCATTATGGTACTTTTTGCTTATAAGGAGTAATGCCTTGTATGGTTGTTGCAAATTGGTACCTGCGGACTTTTCAAAGGTTGTAGATGTCCATATTTTCTGTCCACGCGCTCTCGCACACACACTTCATTGAAGTATTTATGGATGACTTTCTTCCTATTTTTGGTTCTTCTTTTGATTCTATGTCTCAAATCTTCTCTAGAAATGCAAACGATGTGAGAGATACTAACCTTGTTTTAAATTGGGAAAAGTCACTTTTATTGTTAGTGAAGGTATTGTTCTAGGTCGTAAAATTTTCCAAGGAGGGGATTGAGATGGACAAAGCAAGATAGGAGGTAATTGAAAAATACTCCTCAAATTCAAGTGATAAGGGAGAAGAGTTTTCTAGGCTATGACAGCATTCTATAGGATATTTATAAAACTTCTCAAAAATTCAAAAACTCTTTGTAATTTGTTGTTAAGGCATGTTTCCTTTTGATTTTAACAAGAGTGTTTTATTTGCTTTAACAGAAATTAAAGAAGAATTGATATCAGCTTATATTATTGCTACATCCCGAATTTGGAGCCTATCTTTTTGAACTTCATTATGTTTTTATGCTAGTGAATCATGCTATATGTTTTAAGAGGCTGTTTTCTGGGCAAAGAAAGGAAATAAGTTCAATGTCCTCATTTATTAATGTCTCTAGCCGTTCACATTAAATGATGTGGTAAACGTAAATTTGCCACCTACAAGATGAAGGTGCCTTTCTTGCTATTGTTTTTTGCTTTTGATAAATTTAGAGCATTATTTAATTGAGCTTAAAACAATAGTTTACGACTAATTCATTCAAGCTATAGTAAATATTGCTTATAAAAGAGACTGCAAATGCCTAGGCTAATTCGTTGGGTTCTTCTTTTGTTTAGGAATTTTGATTTGGAGAATTTCGTTTTGATAAGAAAGGAACCAAAACCTTATGGTGCGGAATCACTTTGTTAAGGCTTTGAGTTGGACCGGGCCTTCTCTTCTTATCCTCACCTTACGCCTGAATCAGTGTACTTCTCAGTGACTCTAGGCTCTCTTGCCTAAGCCTACTTTAGCTTTAAAAGCTAACGTCTGACCTAGTGGCTTCAACCGGCCTTCAAATTAGGAAGGAATTAGTAGTTTGCATTATTTAACGAGGATCATACTATGACAGTTTGCTAACTCCAATTAAGTAATGAACAACTTCTTACCGCATGATCCTCTAAATTTTATCGGGTATCCCTCTTTCTGGTTTAAATATCAAATGCAACGTGCCCGTTAACATAAGTTCGATAACGTCCTCTTCCACTATTTCACTAAAAGGAAGGCTTAAATTGAAGACCCCCCCCCCCCCCTATGAACATCTTCTTTTTCTTGCAAGTATGCAAGCTCCATGGTATGCGGATATAGTTAACCATCTTGCTTGCAAGATTACTCCTCCAATCTTCCTTATTAAAAAAAAAAAAAAAATTCTTTCATGATCTTAAATATTACTATTGGGAGGAGCCTTTCTTGTTTAAGTATTATAGTGACTAAATATTTAGACGATGTATGTCAAAAGGAGAGATGGAAAGTGTTCTTCATTTTTGTCATTCAACGGAATATGAAGGACACTTTGGGGCGAACAAGACAGCAGAACTTATTTAAAGATGCTTTTAACTTTGTTCATCTTTGTGATCATTGCTAAAGGTTAGAAAATATCTTTGATGGGCTTTTTCGCAAGTGTACAAAATCGCAACAAGTAATAAAGAATGAGTAGAGTATTGTTCCCACGAGGATTATATATCGAGTAACAAAATTGTGTTAACCTACTATTATTTAGAAATTAAAAAAATAAAGAGAAACAAACAAATACAAGCATATACGATATTATAATAAAAGAAATTCAAGATTTAAAGCTCCGAATAATTTCAAAGGAGTTTGATTTCACTTAATTCTATCCAATTTATTTTATTAGTTTGATAATCAATTTTAACTGTTCAAGTAGGGGAAACAATCCTATAATCACTAACAAGCTCTCTTGATGTATTGTTAATTATTTTAACCTAGTCTAATTCCTGTCTTCCAATAGCACAATCAAACATGAATTAAATCATTAAGTTTTATGGTTTGTTTATGAATTCATAACCTAAAGTCGTTAATTTATGAAAACCACGCATGAGTCAAACTATATAGCTTCCGCATCAAGTTATTATTCCCAATATCTTTTTTATATCAAAAACCCTTCTTCCGATAGCGAGTAATGAAATAAATCAATCCAGGGGAGAAACTCTACCTCGAAGTATTAAATTCAATAATAAATTATACTTTGAACAAAGAAAAGCAAATATAATTTTATAAATTGGAATAGAAATTAAACTACATCAAATCCCTAGTATGAGAGTTTAGTTCGATATAGTAATTAAATAAAACTCAATTAAACTTGTAAATAATCCCACGAAGAATAATAAACAAAAGGAGAGTTTAGAAATAAAAACTAGTCAACATGGGTTTGAGCGGCTTCCTTAAATCTTGACACCAATTTGAATACTTAAAGTCTTAAAGAGAGAGAAAATTATGTAGAAAACGGAACAAGAGATGGAATATACAATGAATGGATTCGACCCCTGATCATGGCTAGAGACTTATCTGGAATATCTTTGTGTTCATTTAGGAAAGGAATCTCATTGAGTAATAAATCCTTCTGAAGATAGGAAACTGTTTAGGTTTGTATTCTTGTCTAATTAACTCTCCCACATCTAAATAGATTTTAAACTTGATGCATGTCAAAAAGCATTCTCATCGTGTCCATGAAACGGCACGGCTAGATTGTCATCTTCAGGCCCAAATGAATCAGGCAATCGCACGGGCGTGCTATCTGCACGGCTTGGGCGTGCTAGGCTCTGATCCTTAAGGTGGTTACACACGGGCGTCTGAATAACACATTCAGAGATCAACACCTCTGTGTAGCAACGGCTTCTCTCTGCACGGACTTGGGTTGCAACTCTTAAACCTCTTATTGAATTTATCTTGAACACATCACGAGGGTGCTGGTTTAGACGTCCAGGCTGCCAGCTTTTTGCTTAGCACACTCCTTTTCTGTATTTTGCTGATTTTCTATAAAAAATGCAAATCAAAATCCCCAAGATCAAGTCAAGTGAAATGTGATTCAAGGAATCTTTAAACAAAAACACAAATAAAACTAAAATAAAACTAATTAAAGTAATTAAAAATACTAAAATTTCTAATAAAAATTATATTGAAATATTATAAAAATAACACCTATTAAAATTTCCCGAACTTAAACCATTGCTTGTCCTCAAGCAACGAAACTAAAAACAAAAGAAAAACGCAAGCTAAACAAACTAACAAAAGCTAGCTTAATATGGTTGGGAATAATTATTCTCAATTTCAAAAATATTAAAATCATTAACATGAGAATAAATCAAGTGTTTTCTATGCTAATTATATTCTAGCAAAAATTCAATTTTCAATAAAATACATTCCTTAATTTAAACATAAGTAATAAGATCTTCAACCCAATATGTTAATGTATGACAAATAGAATATGAATTTCATGAAAATTATTAACCTTTAATATAAAGATGTAACGATATTAAATCAAACATTTCCCATAGGCAAAAATTAGTTCATTCGTTCTCCACAACAATGTCATACAATTAAAAAGAATCAAAAATCTTTTATTATCGTATAATGGTTTTATAGGTATAATTTTAGCAAACAAAAAAAAAAAAAAGGATAAAAGATAGGACAAAAGTACAAAGAATGCATAATATCAAGATTTTCATTACATAAAATATTTTTTTTCAAAGATAGAATTACTATGGAGGAATAATTAACTAGCACAATATTAAGATCATTTTGCAAGATTATTTCTTCTTTAATTATTAATATTTGATAACAATTTCCTTGCCTAATAATCCAATTTGAATTTTGATTACTTTTATTCATGGTGATCTTTGTTTTCTTTGATTGCTAGCATTAATGAAAATTAACTCTCCTTTTTAGTTTCTTTTATATAATATATTTAATGTAGCTAAACCTCATATATACATTCTTTACTTAGCATAACGATTTGAACTCAAAGAATGCCTAAATTATCTCTTTCTAAATGTAAGCATTTAAAATTTTGCCTCAAAGAGAGTTCTAATTTGTTCTAGGAATGCCAAGGTTAAATTAAAAAAAAAAAAACATACCTATATACCATAAAAATCACAAAAGTTGTGTTCATGATCTTGAAAACAAATGGTTAAATCAAAGAATCATGTTAAGTCAAAAATTAAAATTTAAGCACAAAACAACTAGCTTCGAAAAACAATTAAATTCATTACAAGTTAATAAATTATGATAATTTCCAAGCTTGCTTATAATTATTCTAAACATATTAAGCTAATAATAAAAACAAAACAAAACAAAACAAACCAAAAATTAAAAAATTAAAATTGTAACCAAATTTTTTCTTTCCCCAACTTAATCTAACACATTGTCCCCAATGTGTGCAAAAATAAGATCACTTTTCCAAACTTATCATATATTATCAAAACATGGTGCAAAAATAAAAATAGAGCTGCCTTACTACCATTGTATTGAAAAATACAATAATACTCATGGAAAAGATTGGATGAGAATCGGGCTAGATTTTGAAAGTGAAAAAAACTACGGAAAAGAAAAAAGAACAAAATATCCCATATATTGAAAATAAACTAGAACGATCAAAACAAAATAAAACAACTTTTCTCCATTCTATAAGACTTCTATATCCGCGGACTTAATACACTTCAAAACATTATTAACCCATGCCTCAGAGAAACCAACGTCCTTAAATATTCATTCCACAAAATCCCAACTCAATCTGTCATATGCTTCCTCCAAATCGATATTTATAGACATGGAACCACATTCCTTCTCACAATCTTCATACAATGGATCGCTTTACAATAAATGATACTATCAATAATTTGGCGACCCAGAATAAAAGTTGCCCGCTCCCAACTAACATAGGCAATATAATTTTGATCCATTAACCATAGTTTTGGTTATCAGCTTACATAAAACGTTGCATAAGATAGTGGTCCGGAATAAAGAGATAGAATCAGGATTAAAAACTTTCAGTATAAGAACTAGCAAAGTAGAGTTCAAATTAGGAGATAATGGATCACAGTTTAGTATATGAATAATAAAAGTTGCAACAGACTCACCAATAGATTTTCAGCATTTTTTGAAGATACCCGCTTAAAACCAGTTATTCCATGTGCCTTGAATAGAGCCATATCAAGCAAAGCATCACGAACTTAAGATACAGAATGAGGGCGAGAAAGGTCCGCCAAAATCTCTTCACCAACACTCGAACAATAACTTGATTCCAAAGTATTGGATTGAATAACTACATCACACGTGGAGAGGTCCTTATAAAATTTTGAAACCATATTTTTGAGCTGGGTGTCATTAGAAATCAAAAATCATACCTATCCCTTTATATAGCAATATTCTCTTTAAGTTTTCTGATCATCGCAGCTACATGATAATATTTCATATTTTTCTCTCCAAAAATGATCAAATATTCTTTTGAATTTTGGAATCAAAACAGCTCCTCTTGTGCCAATACTTCTTCCAACTGCTTCTAGAGATTGCGCTCAAGCTTTAGAAGGTTTGATGGACGAGACTATGCATAACATATTTGTACCCCATGAATGCGAGCCCACAACCTTCTCTTTCTTGAAAAAATATTTTTGGAAACTCGTATGTTCTGATTTTGAAGAGTAGGAATCAAATTTCTGCAAGTCACTACGATTCAAAGCAGTTGTCGACCAATGAGTATGAATCAATGCCTAAACCATGCAACTTGGACCCAAAATAAATTATTTCTAGGATTCTGAGAAGGCTAGAGGCATATTAAAAGAGGAGAATGATCAAATTTAACTCTAGTCAAATATTGGACCAATATCTGGAAACATAATTTTCTAATTAATAGAACTCAAAGCTCTATCAAGCCTAGCCAAATTTTGATACATAGGATGAACACCTATACTCCATGTAAAAAGTCGTTTAGAAAAGCATAAATCAATAAGATCTCGTATAAAAATCTAATCATTAAAATCTCTACTACCTGAATGGCTCTCATTGGAATACCTGAGAGATCTCACCTCAGCAACCTTCAAATTAAAGAAATCAAAACTCTCATTTGGACTTGAACAACAAAGATAAAAGCATGTCGTTTTGTCTTTTAGAAAGGTATCGTTATCTTATATTTAATTATTTAGAAAAACTTAAGGAAAAACTCAAATTTGACTCCCAAAAATATTTGTCCAGTGGAAAAGTGTAGTAGAACAAGAAAAAGCAAAATTAATTAATTGACTCAAAATTAAAACAAGATTTATATGAAAAATAATTTTGCATGACAATTAATATGAAGCATTGGCATATAAAAAGATGCATGAGCATATAAAAATGATATTATGAACAAAATTAACAATATTCCATCCACAAAAGCAATAAATAAATTAAATAAAAATAGGGAGTATTACCTCTAGTCTTCTGAAGATGATTATAGAATAACACACAGCTTCCAATGGCAATAATAAAACACAAATAAAATAAAAATCAATTATGAAATAATTAGATAATATCAACTCTAGTCCCTTTTTGGAGATCCTAGGGTGATCATATATCTCTTAAGAATAATAGTGATAATAATCATAAAAAGAAATAATAAAAAGATGATGAGAAGGAGAAGAGGGTTTCGATTGATTTGGTTTGCAATTTAAGGATAAATCCTAAAATATGTCACATATCCTTTAGATCCCTAGTCAGAACGAGAATTAGAACCATGCAGTTGTATAGTTGATTTTAGTTTGATTTATGCTATTTTTTATATTTAATTCAGATTTCATACTTGAGAAGAGAAAATGAGATTCATGGATTGTTTAGAGAATTATACTTTTTTGTAAGGATGATTTCTCAAACAACTCAACTAGATCTCAATTTTGTAGCGAAGAACCAAAAGAATTTATTTGCGAAGAAACTAATTAATTTAAGGAAAAATGATTAGAAAAGGAAAATTTAGATAGCAAAGAAGAGAGAGAAAATACATAGCGTTATATAATTCATGCCAAAAATCAAAAGGTGTGTGGTATTGAGGCTAAAGGATGTATTTACAAAGGAAAGAGGGTGGAGAGGTGCCCAAGTAGTGGGGAAACCCTAAAATTGGAGTCTAAAATTCGGGTTTCAAAGGATTGTGCCATGTGTCTGGGAGGGACTATTGGTTGGGTCATCGGCTGAAGGGGGATATGGCAATTGCAAGTGGTTTTGTGGCAACCACAAGCCACCTATGTTGGATGTACCACTTGCTGGGGATGCAGTGCTCCAGGGATGCATCTTGACCTAATTTGACCTGCTTCGACTCTCCAATCCGACTTTCGATACTTCGGTTGGGCTCGCTTTAGGTCAGATTTTAGCTTGTAATATATTGTTGGAAAGCTTGAGAAATTTAGTTTCCACTGCCACTTAAATCATTCAAAAATACTGTTGTAGTGCTATTTATGACCAAAAAGTGGAAAAATTCATCTTTGGCTTTTTTGGTCTAACTCGAATTGAATACTGACCGCGTCTTTTGTAATTGCTTTCTAGATATAAAGATATAAAAATACATGTTCACAATACCCCTCTCGTTCATCTGTAAAAATAACCGTATTAAAATCTCTAATAATAAGCTAATTATCTGAGTCATCAACAACTGCTAATCTAAGTTCCTACTATAGCCTTAGAATATTATCATGGTTACCATAAACAACAACTAGATTTCAAGACATACCTCTGTTACAAGTGATAATACAAGCAAGAAATTGTGAGTTCATTTATAAAATTTGGAGATTAAATAAAATACTTTTATTTAACTTTTTAATATAAATAAAGATACTGTTGGAAAAACAAAAGAATTATGATGTGTTAGGTGTAATTTCCATATTGGAGCCATAAACATCAACTCATTGTTGTCCATTTGAGTTAACCTTATTCCATATATTTAATGATCAAGATTTAGTACCTCCATCTAAAGTTGTAAATGAGGCAAACCGAAATTTAGTGACCTCGAGCTGGCTTCGATAAGAATAAATTTGAATTTAAACTCAATCTTGGCTCGCTTAAAAATATTCTAGTTCAAGTTTAGTTTGGATTCAACTTGATAACCATAAATGAATCTAAATTGAGCTCAATATCTACTAAATTAGTAAAAACACATTAATCAAACTAAAACAACACTATTTTGGTATGGGCATAATTAACATTGGTTTTTTCAATTTGGCTTGGTAAAAATCAACTCGTGAGCTGATGAGCTAAATTTAAGCTCAACTCGTTTATTAAATGAGTTCCGATAGATCGACTTGATTTTGGCTCCATAAACTAATTGAACGAGTTCAATTGAACCTTTTATACCTCATAAGTAGTTCGGCTTATTTACATCTCTACTTGCACCCTATTATAATGATCTTTTAAGAAATAATTAATTTTTCTAAATTATAATAAATATTCATTAAATTATTATCTACCTCACATCATCGCTCCAATCTCATCAGTTGTATTTAAAACATATATTTATGAACAAAAGAATTATTCTAAATAACTTATATTTATGGAGTAAGAGAGTATTAACTGTTTAGATCATTGATAAAAGGATAATTTACTCACTCTTTTTTTTTTTTTTTTTTTTTTTTTTTTTTTTTTTTTTTTTTTTTTATTTACTCACTCTTTTTTTTTTTTTTTTTTTTTTTTTTTGCTTTCTTTAATTGTTTTTTTAAGGGAATTTTTCTTTTAAATTTTCCTTTACATTTGTTTGTGCGTGGGACAAAGATAATATCATTTGACCCTTCCATGAACAGGCACTTTTTGGGACGATTGGACTATTTTTACAAAACAACCTAAGTTTCAAACCACTTCAAATGGCCAAACCCTACCACTTATCAAATTTTTTTTTTTTTTTTTTTTTTTTTTTTGCTTTCTTTAATTGTTTTTTTAAGGGAATTTTTCTTTAATTTTCCTTAATTGTTTGCAGTGGGACAAAGATAATAATCATTTTGACCTTATGAACAGACTTTTTGGGACGATTGGACTATTTTAAAACACCTAAGTTTAACCAATCAAATGGCAAAACCCTACACTTATCAAATTTTATCCATCAAACTTCTAAATCTTTATTTGCTGATACTAAGCTCTTGAATTTTTTTTTTTTTTTTTATAATTAATCTCTTATTTAACTGAGAATTAGATACTGATTATCACTCATATATATTTTAAATTTATTATTTTTTGTTGCTATTAATGACTTGAATTTGCCCATTTATTCTCAATTAATTTAGGGTTTAATTTTTACTCAAGTAAAATTAATATGTTTGCGATCTATTTTTTTTGTTTCTTTTTTTTTTTTTTTTGGCAGAAAATATTCATTAATATGTTAATATAGTTAGGAATTAGATTGGGTGAGTGGAAAGTGCATTGCTAGCTGCTTTGACAAAAAATAATTCAACAACACTCAAAAAAGAAAAAAAATTATTTTCAAAATATTGCTTGCACGACTCTAATTAGTACAAATACATGCTGCAATTGCAATTGACTCCACAACCATCCCTTCATGTTCTGAAAGGGACCATCTATCATCCATTGAACCTTTTGGACAACCTATCACATCCATACAATGTACAATTATACCATTCCAATACCGTATATATACGGTCCAATACTTAGCATAATGGAGGGCATAATAATAATAAAATAAAAAGAAGCATTTTTCCTTTTTTTTTATTATTATTATAATTGACAAGGACAATAATAAAGCATAGGTAAGAGGAAAAAGATGGCGAAAGGACCACACCACCATATCCCTTTCTCATTTTGTCTCTTTATTTGACTAATATGAGCATAGCAAAACAAAATTAAATAAAAAAATAATTAAATAAACAGTATTCTCACCCACCAAGCAACTACCACCTCCTGTCTTCATTTCTGCATCTAACTAAATTAACTTTAATGATAATAATTATTAGTACACTCTAATTTAAACTTTAGGATGATATTCTTATGATATACCAATGATAGGAAACTGTGATCTTAATATATTTGCTTCTGATCCTTCTGAAAAATTTCCAATATTTTGCGAACATTGCCATAGGCCAAAATTTGGAAGAGCTAGACTGAGCTTCCAGTATCAACACACTTGAATAGGTTGCCTTCTTCACCTCTATATAATTAAACTAGAGAACCAGCTGAGGAAGAATGTTAACTGATAAATTCTTCAATTCTGCAAATGGACTCGCAGTGTTTTGCTTCCCAGATAATGTTCCATTTGATTATTCAGACAAGGGTTTATTGGATTTTGTAGTAATCATGTACAAATCTAACATTAATACAACATTTTGATACGTTACAACCAAGAGAATGCTTACCAATAACCAGAAATTCTTTTAACTAGTTAACGATCATGCTTCACAGAAGAACCAAAATTGCCTGGCCTTCCACAGATTTACTTGGTTCTTTACCTCTATAATTTAATTTTGCAAGTAATGTTATTCAATAGCTCTGTAAAAACAAAATTTTACAGTAGTACCTTATAAATTTCAGTAAACCAAATTTAAATTCTTCCTTTTGATTACAGTAGTACCTTATCTTCATCTCAAATTAAAGTCCAAATTTCATATTTACTCCTTCAAGCAATAAATTCAATGCTAACCATTTACATAGGACAATAAATAGTTTCTAAACATATTGATTACTCTAGAGATACCAGTTACAGCCATCACATTATGAAATGCATACATATATATAAATTGGCCTAGGAAGAATACGCCCAAAGATTACATGCTTGAGGTCAATGTCCAGGAACTGAGGATTAAGGTGTATTCCAAACACCTGTTTACTTACAAAATGTGTAATGATATTAGGACTATTAAAGAAAATTGAATTTGATGGTGTATTTTAAATTAATATCTTGTTTAGGAGCTTATGTCTGATCCTGAATTGGATCACAGAATCATGCAGAAAATCATATAACATGCAATAGGATGAAGGTTCAATAGTGATATAAGGGACAGCTTGCCACTGTTTTCTATTCCCTATTCAAATTAGTTTTCAAGTATGTGAAGAAAACTGATGAAATATATATTGTTCTTTTAGATATGAGGCTTAAGTGAAGAACCCTGACTTTCTGAATTGCAATCAGTAGCATAAAGTACCACTGTTACCTAGATGTTGAAAATGAAAATCAGAAATCAAAAGAGCTAAGGAGAAAGAAAAGCAATGAGAAGCAACTATAGTTCAGTTTCAGTCAATAGACTTGGCACAATGGCATGCATGATACTTCTTTATCTTAAACGTGTATCCAGAACACAAGAATGAGTTCGTTTGAAATGAAAGATATTTAGTTATTTATCTTGATGATTATATACTTGGTGTTGAAAATTAAAAGGTATTTGAAACACATACAAGTCCACTGCATCTTACTAATGATTGCAGTTTGACACTCCAAGTCATGATGGGTGTAGGGTTGGAAATATTTCATATGCACAAACAAAAAGAATCATACAGAACAGGATGTTCACCAATAAAGTTTAAAGACCTGCAGATAGATAAAATAACTTGAAATTTAACTGGAACTAACAAGAAAACTAAAAATAAAAGTTGCAGACAGAAGCTCAAATCCTCTCTCTGCTACCTGCCACCATTATTTGGGTAGTAATATCAGCTGCCTCGCATTGAAACACGTACTAACCACACATAAATTCAACTAGTGATATAAGTTGCTTCAATTGATCATAGTAAAGGAGAATTTTCTCCCAGCCAGAAAATAATATGGAAAAAAGAAAAAAGAAAACGAAACACTAGAAAACAGCCTACAATAGCAGCTAGAATTTTACATGACTGTGGACCTGGTATAGTAACATCAATGTTAATCCAAATAACAAGCAGGCAAGCAATGGACCTCTTTGACTCCTTCAAGTTCATACAAATGAAGTTAATTCCTATCTGATATCTGCATTATGCTATTGTTCAACCGAAATGGAGAGGTGCAACCCAGTAAGCATTATGGATCTGTAACAGCATCTTTTAATCAATCACAAAAATAAAGAATTTCTAATCAACTAAAAGAGTCATCTAACATGATCTTATTGACTATGAAATTCACAAAAATACCTTCCATATGTGGTAATCAACAAAAGGCCAAAAAAGGAAAAACACGTTTCAATTGGCAAATATATACAGCGAGTGATAAAAGATCCATTAGCACCAATCCCAAGAAGAACCACCAGCAGCAGCAATGATAACAACTACCTTAAAGCTTATAAGCAATAAGCCATCAAAAGCACAGTTAAACAAATAAAATTGTCATTACATAGTACGACTTTAGGAAAAAAAAGAAACAACTGTAGTAAGAGACCATTGCAAAGGTAACAGAGACGAGGGAAAAATAATAGCTAGACAAAAAGGGAAAATAATAGTACAACGACCTGTAAATGGAAATGCAAATGACAAATATTCAGGAACAGATGAAGTAACTACGATGTGCAAGTCAGAGTTAATTATATGCTGAACTCGCTTGCAGGTATATGCAGATTTAGTTACAAGGTTTAAGTTTTATTTTAACAAAACGTTTGTCTTCCAATATGTAATTACACTGAATCTATTTATACTTTTTGAATTTTTCTTATTTGTTAAATCAATTTTAGACTTAAACGGATTTAGTTTCAATTTGTTACATCATTTTGTTTTTTCAGATTTACCATGTTCTTTAAATCCATTTTTACGAAAAACATATTCAAACTTTGTAACCATGAGTTCTATATAACCCATTTTTACTAAATCTATTCCTTGTTTTGACAGATTTTTTTTTTTTTTTGTAATTCCTCACCAAATCACATTATTCTACAAACTGTTTATCAATTCACACTATTTCGTGATAATCTCTAAATTTAGTTGGTTTTAGAACTCTTTATGGTTTGATTCATTTTGAATTTTTAATCAATCGTCAATTTTAATTTAATTTAAACCACAACCTCACTACTTATTTTGATGTTTGACTTGACATCTAAAGAAATTACTAATATTAGATTTTCTTAAACCCCCAATTTCCTTACTAAAATGGCAGCAATCTGTCTTAAACCCTCAAATACCTTGAGAAGGTACAACAGTATTTAAACACATGAAATTGGAATCTACCAAGGCTTTTTGCCTGGAGAAGTAACGTAGCTGTAGGTTACTGCGTCGACTTTTCTGTTATCACATGTCTATCATGTAAATGGGAATTGCTAAGCGAACCTTTCAGATACCATCTTACAGGCAACACATACAGGCTGCATTAAAACAACATAAATAGACATCCAATACTCTAACATAGTTTCTCTTATATTGGAGAGAAAAAGGGAAAAAGAAAAGGAACAGTCCAGCAGGTTCAAATATAATTTTCTCAGTCACAGGCTCAACCAATGATATCAAACCAAGGTGAAAAGACAACATATAAAAACTTAACAATGTTTAAAAAACTAAACCAGAAAAAGAAATGCTGTTTTCTGACATTCCCTAAACTCCGTTTGGAACCCAGAAGTTAGATTCAAGATTGGCGAAATGACTCTGCCACAACTTTCTTCATTGTACCTTTGAAGCCCTTTCTCAGTCTTTTCACAATACTTGAATCCTGTAAACACGCTCTGCAGATTAACAGCCAACCTGTATAGAAATATCATGGTAAGCTGCAATAAAAGATAGAGGCCGATACTGAGAAGCAGGAAAGCCTGAACCTGCAAAACTCGTAAGGTTCGTAAGATAACTTTTAAAGGAAAACAAATTTAACAGCAAAAGACCATGATAAATCCCTGTACAATTTAATTACCCATGCCTTCCAGCAATTGACTATAACGAACAGGTAAAATTGAGCAGATAAAGCCTCCTCCTGTCCTCTTTTAGTTGGAAATGGTTGTAGTATCATCTCATCAAAACATTTCTTAGACATCTCTTTTGTGATTTCAAAAGAAACTAATAATTGAAAAGGATTCAATATTGAACATTTTATAGGGGGAAGAACATCATTGAGGTAAAAAACCTAAAAGTACCTCATGGCACAGAATGAAAATCTGAAACCACAAGAACCAGAAAGAACTATTTTTTTCATTAACTGGGCCATTTCCCCCTCTTTTTAATTTTTTAAATCATCTCTCCCTTTTAACTTAGGCGCTTATAGGGCAAAAGTTAGTATTTCACTTTCATAACACAAGATAGTGGACCTGTACTCCACCTGCACAGTGGAAATGGGCAGTAAGCCATATTTTCTGAATGGGGCCCTCTTATTAAAAAAAAAAAAAAAAAAAAAATACCTCCACTGGCACAGAATGAAAATCTGCAAACCACAAAGAAACCAAGACAAGAACTATTTTTTTCATAACTGGGCCATTCCCCCTCTTTCTTTAATTTTCTTAAATCATCTCTCCCTTTAACTTTAGCGCGCTTTATAGGCAAAAGTTAGCTTATCTTCACTTCTCATAACACAAGCATACGTGGAACCTGTACTCCCCACCTGCAACAGCTGGAAATGGCAGTAAGCCATTATTCTGAAATGGAGGGCCCTCTTATTTAAAAAAAAAAAAAAAAAAAAAGATTTGCACAGTTCACGTCACGAATAAAAGCGCTCAAATCACTTATCACCACAAAAAAAAAAAAAAAAAAAAAAGAGTTGCAAGTTCACGTCCACGAATAAAAGGCTTTAAATACTTATCACACAAGTAGCTGAGGAACAAACCAGAACATTCCAAGGGGATCGGCAATTGCTTTCATAGAGCTCCTACTGGTGCTGAGGATCATCATATTGATTTCCATTCTTCGCATGACCATTGCTGTTCCTGTCATTGTCAGGTTTTTGGCTGTCTCTATTACCAGTTTCTGTCTTTTCTCTCTCTCTGTTCCACTGCTCAATCTTAGCCCTTCTTTCAACACTGCTCTCCCTGACAGGACTTCTATTCCTCCTTCCTCCAGGGCTTCTGCTTCGTCCTCCTCTGCGCCCAGGACTACGACTTCTAGGCCTCTTGCTCCTCTCATGTTGCCGATCCACATGATCATCTCGTCTATTAGAGCCGCGGTTACCATGTGAGCGTTCATCATATCCACGGTGCCGATTAGGACTGCGACTCCTACTGCGGCTACGTCGTCGCCTATTCCTCCCAAATAAACGTCTCCTCAACTCCCTAAGCATAGAAAAGATAAGTACATAGGCCACTGAGTTCCCAAGTGAGTCTGAAGTAATTAGCAGTATACAATAAACCATTACACCAAGAAAGTTACCTGCTAATCTTCTTCAGATGCATGAAGTTGCAGTAGCCACCTCGATTGCATACATTTTCCTCGTACTGCCTACACGTGGCTTCACGGAAATCCGTAACAGGAGAGAAGTCAACAATGATCGGCCGCCCTAACATATTCAGGGTTCATGAAACATTAAAATGTGTGTTAACTTTATACCAAGATACCACTATTAGTACCAATACCCAGAATATTGAATCCTACAGAGGGTGATAATGTAAAAGAATGAATAGGAACAAATTATATTACTTTCCAGATAGACTGATAATCTGAATCTCATAAAAATATTACAATCTGCATGCGACCAGGGGCACCTATATAAACTACAATTGCATAATAATACTAAAGTTCAAACGTTTAAATTACAACACCAATCTGTCCAGTTGCAAATCACAACAGACACAAAACTGAATACAGCCAAAACTTGGCTAATTTAATGCTAACCTCCACAGAAGATGATGAGTAACTGATGGTACAATACAACAACTATCAACGAAAACATATTAAGCAAAAAAAGAAAAGATGATCCGAGGTAAGCTTAGTGAGTCTTATAGAGAGGATATGCACGTGGAATAACCCTTAATCCTTCCAAACCCAACTCTCCAAACCTCTTTTTTCGCTCCCTTCAAAAAGACAGGCATAACAGGCCATATTTAAGGCTATCAAGTAGGTAGTGAGCTATGTAATTGGGTAAAACCAGAAAAATGTGCAAAGGCCAATGTCTAGTGATAGGCAGTAATGCAATATGAGAGACAGTCGAGCAATACTCAATTCAAAATGAATTATGGTGAAATCTACCAGGTCAGCTATATGTTTAAATTACCACAATGCCTAAATGTACATTTCAACAATAAAAACAATTAAATTGACAATCTAATATTCATAGAAAAAGCAGAAATTGAAAACCTGCATAAAACCTTCCATTCAGATTCTGAAGCGCACTAGCAGCATGCTCTTCTTCTCTAAATTGGACATAAACATTACCGACCTGCTCAAAATAAATAAATCAATCAATCAATCAATCAAATAGTAAATTGGGAAAACGAAACCCCCACAAAAAAAAAAAAAAAAAAAAAAAAAAAAAAAAAAAATCAACTCAAATTAGTAAAATTGGGAAAACGGAAACCCCCACCAAAAAAAAAAAAAAAAAAAAAAAAAAAAAAAAAAAAAAAAAAAAAAAAAAAACTGAATGAGTGTTAAGTACCATGTGATCGGCGAGATTATCACAGATATTCAAGCTCTCGATATCTCCATACTTGCTGAGCTCCTCAAAAAGGTCCTGGTAAAAGTCCTCGAAGTGGTCTTGGATCTTGCGAGGATCAAGAGATTGAGACTGGGCTTGGGGATCGACGCCGGGAGTAAGCATATCAGGCCGCTGATACATGTTGGAGAGGAGAAGGGTAGGGCTGATGCTAGGTTTTGTGTGAAGCCTGGAGCATCGATCGCCATGTCTGCAGGCTCCGATCTTGAAGTAGAAAGGACAGTTTACTCTGTCCTTCTCTGTTCCGAATATGGAAGCTAAGTGTTCCGCCATGATTGTTTTTTCCCTCTTCTATCCTTCGATCTGTTTAGGGTTTTGCAGAATAAAATCAATCTCACTACGATATTGATTTTGAAGCCTAGAATAATTAATAAACAACACTAACAGAAACTATTTAATTTTAAAGATATGTAAATAAAACCGAGCCCTCTAGCACAAACCTGCAGGTTTGCCCGAGAGGTTAAGGGGGAAGACTTAAGATCTTCTGTACAGAAGTACGCGTGGGTTCGAACCCCACAGCCTGCATTTTAATTTTTAACATTCTACAATATGATTGGTACTTCAAAATTTTTAATTTAGGTACACGAATAGAAAATTTTTGCAACCGAATGCCTAAACCATACAAATCTTTTCAATTGTATTGTGTTTAAATAATAGGCCCTATATGGTCATTATATTTTCACTTATTTGGATATAAATGCGGTGTCACATCAAACACTATTGAGAGTATAAAATGACTAACTCATAATCAACAATAAATTAACATCAATCCTGAATTAACTGACTCATTCATGAGCCAATAATTCAAGGAGTATTATTTAAGATATCAAAACCCTAAAATTTCATAATCTAGAAATTCAAAGATGGATAAGAGAAATTAAACATTAACCTTGACAAGAGATTTCTTCCAAATCTCTTCTAATCTTTCTTCACTTCTTTCCTTTTAGAAGTGCTAATAGCCCTCTCTACTAGAATCCAAAAAAAAAGAACACAAAACTCAAATGAGAAACCATGCTAAGCACAAATTAAACATGCTAATGACATGGGAAATCAACCCTCTAAAATAATTTCTAAAAATAAGCTCTAAAATCTCAAACACAAACTTACAACTTCTTTCATTTTTCTCTTAAAATAATCTTTAATTATGGCTCCAATCCTTAAATTATGGCATGATTAAGGATTAAGAAGTCTTAATCATTTAATGTCTTAGTCTTGAAATTTTGTAGGATTAAGAAGTGAAAATGATGGGAGAGGAAGAAGAAAGTTTAGCCAATTATGGAAGGAAGAAGAAAAAGAAAGTCAAATTGCAAAAATGAGATGTCATCGAATTTTCTGCATATATGAGAAACTCCATCTCCATTGTTATCCTATTGTTGGTTCAATATGGCCAATTGTTTAATTTAATAGGATAACATATAGTTAATCAATAATATTAAATCCGTAATTATTTAGTTGAGTTGATTCAAGTAATAAATAATATAATCTGATTGTAACTAGGCTTTTGGATTATATTATGAAAATTTATAATCTAATTTAAATGAACCTCGCTTGAAGAGATTATTAATTAGGGCAAGGTATTTCTAAGTCTTATTACTATTAGCAAATTAAATTCTATCGCTTGTTTAGGGTTGTTTGCTAGTTATATTCATAGCGCTTGTCTTGTTTAATCTAATAATACAAAAAGATTGATCGAGACGCTTGTTCAAAGATTATAACTTGTCTATTACTTGGAATTATTGAGTTATCTTAGAATCAATGATCAATCAAGAGAATTTCTTACTAAGAATTGCCTTTGACTGAATTCATCTCCTATTGATTTAAACTTGTTTCTTTTATTGCATTCTTACTTATTTTAATTGTTTGATTCATCTCTACTACAAAATCCCCCTCTTTATTTTTATTTATTTTTCTGGTTATTGACAGAATTAATCAAAACTTGTCCCTAGGGTCCGACCCTTCTCACCCTATCTATAAATTACCTAGAATAGGAAGAGTAAGAATTATTTTTGGTGGCTTCGACAACCATCAAATTTTAGCGTCGTTGCCGGGGACTAGTTCAATTTGATTTGTTCCTTTGATGACCAGGTCCGAAAATACTAAGCTAATCTTTGATTGAGAAATTGAGAAGAAAGCTCGCGCACTAAGGAAAGCAACAAGACAGCAAAAGAAACAAGAAACCATGTCGTCTACACCACTTTTGGAAGAACCAGCACCTGATTTAGGAAAGTTTCTAACTGAATCTAAATAAGAAGAGATGGGCGAAGAACGAACTGTGTGGCAGCTACATGCACCTCCATTGGACCAACAACCCCTTTGCATCACTTATCCAAATCTAGAGGTGGCATTCAAACTGAAATCGGGACTGATTCACTTACTCCCTACTTTTCGTGGATTGGAGAATGAAGACCCAAACAAACATTTGAAGAAATTCCATGTGGTATGTTCAAGTATGAGACCACAAGGGGTAATGAAAGAGCATATCAAGCTGAGAACATTTCCATTCTCTTTGCAAGATGCAGCCAACGAATGGTTGTTTTACTTGCTCGCTGGTTCAATTATGTCATGGAATGATATGGTCCGACACTTATTGGAAAAATATTTTCCAGCCTCGAGAGCAGCCATAATTCGAAGGGAGATAAGCGAAATCAAGCAAAAAGATGCGACAATCCTTTATGATTATTAGGAGAGGTTTAAAAGGTTGTGTGCAAGCTGTCCACAACATGGAATTACTAAGCAATCCTTAATTCAATATTTTTGTGAGGGAATGTTGGATTTAGAGAGGAGAATGGTTGATGCAGCAAGTGGAGGGCCTCTTGTTAACAAAACTCCTCAACAAGCTCGAGAAATAATATCCACCATGGCTACAAACACATAGCAATTCGGAAGGCATCAAGACATGCCACGAAAAGTTAACCAGGTAAGTGATTCTTCCATTGAGAGTAAACTTAATGAGCTAACTCTTTGGTTCAAGGTATTGATAAAGGTATGTCTTTACAAGCTAAAGTGTGTGGGATTTGTGATTTTCCTGGACATCCAACCAATATGTGTCCCACATTACAAGAAGAAGCTCAAGAACAAGTAAATGCAATTGGAGGATTTCCTAGACAACCCCAAAGAATGTATGATCCTTATTCAAACACGTATAATTCGGGATGGAGAGATCATCAAAATTTTAGCTTTGGAGCAATGATAACAAAACTCTCGTCCATACCAACATGGACCACCTCAATAACAGTCACAAACGGGTCTAAAATCAGGTATGTCCCTTGAAGATATTGTTAAATCTCTTGCAATTAACACTCAACAATTTCAGCAAGAGACTAGGGCTAGCATTCAAAATCTGGAGAACAAGTGAGCCAATTGGTAACCTCTTTGAGCAATTGGAGTCCCAAGGGAAGCTTCCTTCTCAAACTGTCATTAACACCAAGCAAAATGTAAGTGCAATCACTTTGAGAAATAGATTAGAGTTGAGAATTCCAGTCTTAAAGAAACTTGACAGTAGCTCAAGGAAAGATGCTTAAAAAAAAGCAGAGATTATTTTACTTTATTTTAGTCTTAAAGAATGTCTAGCCTAGGACGTTAAACAAGGGCGCTTATTGGGAGGCAACCCAATCTTAGGCTTGCCCAAGCCTAATTTTTGTAGCTTTCTTTTGTTTTTAGATTATTTTACTTTATTTTAGTCATCTTCTTCCTAAGTTACTCAAATGTAGTCTATTCTCATCTTTTCTGGGCTGGAAATGAATTTTTGAGGTTAAACTTAGTTCTTTCATGGTAAAAAACTTAAAAAGAGATGCTTTTAATGGTTAATGTTTATTTTTATAGTGGTAATTTTTTTAAGAGAGCTATTTAATTGTTAAAATATTTTTAATCTTTTCTATTTTAAATGATTTACCACCCTTATTTACTTTACAATTAGTTGCAGTTTATTTTCACTTTTATGGGAGATAAAAAGAGAGAGAGGAAAAAAAAATAAAAGAAAACCCTAGCTCCTCTAATCTAGCAGCGCCATCGTTCTCTACACCTCCATAGTCGTAACTTCCACATCTGCTTTCTCTCCATCAAAGCCGCTCTAAAGCCTCATCCTGCGATTTAGGAAATCTAGGAGTCTTGTCAGTGCCTTCATTTTCTCTTGCCGGCAAGCCACCCTCTGCCACCAGCTTAGAAAGAGGTGACAACAACCTCCTCCACAGGAAAGTTTCTTCACACTTTAGTCGTTTCTTTTTAGTTTTTTTCTCAATTATTTAGTTGTTGGAAACTCCCTTTTTGCTTGATTGATGTTTCCACATTGAGGACAATGCGAGGAGTAAGTGTGGGGGAGAAATTTGATTTTGGAAGTGCATTTATTTGTTAAATTTTTGTTTATTTTTTGTAAAGCACTGGATTTTTGAGCATTTTGTCCGTATTCTAAAACCTAATTTAAATATTTCTTTTGGCAAGTGCTCTTAAAATTTGATAGATTTTAGTGCTTATCCCATCAAAATTTTGATTGTTTGTTATGTTAAATGAAAAATTTTATTTCAAAATTTCTTTCTTATCATAGCTTGATTAATAATTTTCTTTTGACCTTTTGAGAGAAGTGCTTTATTTTAAAACAATTTTTTTTTGCATTGGGTTGAATTCTTAAGACTTAGGTCAAAGTAATAGTAATCTTAATGATAGATCTCCCTCTTCTCCATACCACAGATAGTATTCCTTAATCATTTTCTTTTGTATAAATCATTTAGGCTTGAGTTAATAGGTGAAATTGTCAATTTGCTTGTGCTTAATTCACTGTTGTGCATATTTTAAAACTTTGTTTAACTTGTCTAAGGCACTACTTTCTGTTACATGGCTACATGGCTACATGTTTTGGAGGAATGGAAGGTGTAAATCATGGAAAAAGCGATGACGCGTATAGTGAGGAATAAAAGAGAACAAAAAAAGCGGTAATGCACATGATTCTCTACAAATTGCAAACAAATGAAAAAAAAACAAAAATAAAAAAGAAGAACAAAAAAGCGGCAATGCACATGCGTTCACCAAAGTTTTTGCAAAGAAAAAGAAAAAAAAAAGAGAGAGAGAAATATGCCCTTCCTTTTTCTTTCTAATATTTGCACCAAATCCTAAAGTATTGTGCCTTGGCAAGTTAGCCTTATGTTTTGATATCTGACAACTTAAGTTAGTATAGTACTTAATCTCTTGCATTTCTAAAATATTCCAATTCTTTATGTTTTGTGCTTAAAAGATTACTTTGAGGTTGCTATATACTGGTATGGATTTGATGGAATATGTTATGAATGGCTGCTACCTTAACTGCATTTCCTCTCAATTTTTCAATTTCTACTAGAGAATGCTATGATAAGGTGAAGTAAATTTCTAA